TAAGTTACTAGTAGAACAGTGGCAAAATAATTTTAAATCTCATATGAGGGTTGTTATGGTTATAGGAAAAGAAAATTTGAAGAGAGATGGGGAACATCATAAAACCTTTCTGGAGTAGTGCACCTCAGCTGTTAGGACCTCTGGGACAACCCTGAGTAGGGTCCTCGGTGGAGTGGGTTCGCCACACGTGCTCTAGTTGGACTCCCTGCTTCTCTTCTATAACCTGGGCCTTCCATAGCAGTGTAGCTACTGGTACAAAAAGAAATATGTTGCTCATTTTTTTTCTACTTGTAAAACTGGATTTATTCCTGAACCCCGGGGAGGGCTTTGAAACTGGAGGTGATATTAAAGAGTTTCAGCCTTTTTGTCCATCTTCCATTTGTATTTTGAAGAGTGGTTACAAATTGCTCTAGGGAAAGTTGAGAAGCAATAAGTTTAGGATTTAAGGGGAATATAGTAATTTGTGTTTCACACTTTCCTTAGATAGTTTCTCAAAATCTCCCAGGTGATATATGTTTCAAAATAATATTGTTTTAATCTATTGATGACAAATGAATAGGAGCACTTGAATTGCTTCCAACCAGAAAATAAGATTAGCCTACAGTCATTTGTAATTCTTTGCAGCCATCTCTTACGTGATAAATAGGTATCTGCTAGATTCTCTATGCTGGAAGATCCAGATCCAGATAGTCTTTGCTTGGGAAGGAAATATTTTATCTAAATCTTTTCAATTTGATGTTGCATCAGAGAAACAAGGATGATTATAACTTTTGTCCTACTCAATATACCGTATTACTAATTTTGCTATACTGTTAAGTTTTTTATTACTCAGTTAGCAAGGGTTTAGAATATTCTTGTTCTTCAATATGGGTAACTTAGTTTATGCTTTGAGTACTATTCAGGGAAGAGTATGGGCAGTGAATTATGTGTAACTCTTGAGTAAGTTTCATATCAGGGTACTGAAATGATATTGCTGTTGATATCATAAGGTTACTAGTAATTTTTTGTGATCTGTTTTCAATATATATACAAATATTAAGTTACCATGATGTATACCTGAAACTAATATAGCATTCTATCAGTTACAGTTCAATAAAAAAGAAAATAAAGGACAGATGTGTCAGTCTTAAAATATCTTTAATCCAAAAAATTTAGCAACAGATTTTTATTTTGATTAAATGGGTTATTGAACTTATTGGTTATACTCAGTCAAAGTGTTCAAAGATTTCTACATAGAGTTATGGACACAAAACTAGTCATGGGTTAACTAATCTTAAAATGGAAAAAATTGAATACAAAAATTCACATTAATAACAATAGTATGTGATACACTTCCCATGGACTGGCACCGTGCTAACAATCACATTTCAAATTCTGACCAGTTGAGGATTGATAGACAAGGAATGCATGAATTGCCTATAATAAGGGCCATGACTCTCAAGGGAATTATTATGTAAATAATTCTGTTTCTTTACTGAACTATGTGGTGGGGGGGCTTTAAGAATATGGTGTCCAGAATCTTTGATTTTCCATAGGTATGCTTGTGTTTGTGCAGTATGTACATGTGCACCATGTGTGGCAAAAGTGATGGTAGTATGAAAGGCTAAAAAATTCCAAGGTGTGGAAAGAGATCTATGGAAACCTGAGTAAACAAGGAATTCCAATAATATAATATTTTAATATAATAATAATGATAGTCTAATTTGTGCATCTCTATGTACCTGACATTGTGTCGGGTACTTCTATTTATGGAACACACCATTAGTTTATGAATAATCAATGAGTCCTGTGCTACTATTTTTAAGAATTCCAGTCACTTGGACCTCATTCTTGCAGACTCTGAAAATCTACATCATTGTATGGCCATTCTCCTACAGCTCTTTTATTTTTGTATCATAATTACTTGGATGCTTAACTTATTTTCCATGTTAAACTCTACACTTCTTGATTGCTATTCACCTTATTTGTATAGTGGTTTTATACTCAGTGGATAAATGCTAAATATCTAGTTAGTGAGTGAATGAATTTTTCTCTTGATCTGAGTTCTACAAATGGTAAACACGGCAATGCAACATCATAATCCAAGACAATTAATACATATGAAAGTAATCAGCCATTCTAAATAAATAGCAGGATCCTACTAATAACACAAAAGTAACTGTGCTCACAAAAATTAATAGTATAACTATGACTACTAATTTAACATTAATTTTTCATTGCTGAGCTTGTTAATAAAAATGCTACTTTCTTTCCTAAAGGAATCTCCATAATGCAAATGTTTCATAAGTATGTTTTATTCTACAAGTATTTGCATGTTCAAATTTGTGAGGCCCAGAATTTCATACTGCCAGTCTCAAATTACCATTTAAAGTTCTAATGCTGAAATTTGCAAAGGTGTAATTAGGAGGTGAAATAACAAAACCCTCCAGTGTCCACAATACAAAATGTCAGTGCTGCTAACAATTAAATGTGGTAACATTTAAATAATGAACTTCCATTGACACCCGAAGAATAAAATGTAGCTATTAGGACGACATCTACATAGCAGATGATTTCACAGGAAAGCGCTCAGACCTCCATCAAGTTAGGAATCAATAGAACCCAGGCAAGTGTGGTACAAAGGCAAGGTCTCAGCTCCTGAAAGGCCCTCTGTGCTAGAGCTATATTAAATTATCACAGCTAATGCAAAACCAACCTTGGAGTAAAAGATAAAAGGGTGAAGTTCTCACAAATGATCATTTATCACTCCATTCCGAAATGCAGACAGCATTCATTATAGATCGAAATGCCACTCAAATTTCATCATTTAGTAGGGTTTTGAAACAGCCAAACCATTAACAGGGGAGAGTAGCTTTTTATATGTATACAACCAGTGACTAATGAAACATTATACTCTGTGTGCAAAAGGGGTGAAAAAACACCTTTATTTTGTAATGAACCCAATTGGAGCCCTTTTAAACACAGTGTAATATGGTCTCACTGTTTCATCGAGCCTCTCATTACTTGTGTCGATAATCCTGGGTAAACTACTGTTGAACTTCACAGCATTTATATAGTAGCATGAATAGCATTAAACTATGGGGTGCTTTTGACAAATTGTAGTTCAAAAAGCAAAGCCAAAAATTACTTCTTACAAAATGCTTAGAAAAGCATTTATTAGAAATGTGTCAACTGCCAACTACCTAAAGGCAGCTTGGCTACTTAGGAAATCATGCTGTTGGCTGGCTCACAGACACTTGGGACACATGTGAATTTTCCCCACTTGAATTACTTTTAAAAAAACAAACAACATTCTTTTTATTTAAGTATATGATTTTCTGCCACTCCCTTCTAATTCTATATTTTTAATTTCATATTGCTTTCCACATAATGTGACATGCTGTGCAACAATCCCCCAGGTCCCAAGAAACTCTCAGGTGAGAGAAGCACTTAGAAAGTTAAGGGTGAATCTGACTAGACTTCATTTACAGGAGCGCATGATCTACACAGCCAGGTCAGCATGAATGGAAAGCTACTCCCAAATTATGCTCTAAGGATACACTCAATGATTCCATTCTCTCTGGAAGAAAGGTGGCAGGAGTGTCTACAAGGATTCACCACATTTAATTCCAATACATCAGTCTAATTTGATTAGGCTGATCTTTCTCAAAAGATTGAATACGCACAATTTATAATATGCTAGAAATTAATCTCTCAGCTCTACTTTCAAGATGTTTGTATGTGGATAGTCTAGGATAGTCTATTCACTGAGAACCTTCATTTGCCTTTGACAACAAAGTAGTATTTAGAATTAAGAGATTGTATACACCAAAGCAATTTGGAAGTAGAATATTAGCTTACTATATTAATTTTTATCCAATTTTGACCTGCATTACAGTAAAATAAATGCCTGGGTAAAAACATAATATAATTATTGTTTCCCTAAATTTAAATATATTTTCAAAAAATTTGATTTTACTCCCCAAATTCTTTTTTTGTAACTAACTCATGCTTCTTACAGTATTCTATAATTTAGTCCATGAGAAAATATATCAAATAAACCTACCCTCTTCATTATGTCTAAGATCCACTGGATTTATGAAAACATCATGATTTATGCAATACTTATTTTGAATACTGTAATAATGTGTAGAACTCAGTACTAGTCTTAGTAACGTTTTCTTGGTGAAATATATGAGGAAAATGTTCCACTCCCCATAGCTTCTCTCTGTCGGAGATTCATAATATACTCTGCATATTAAAAAGTTCTGAGAAATTCTTCAACAAAGAAACCTGACTAACTTTGTTTATTGCAATATTTTTCAATCTCATCAAAGTTATCTCCATCCAACAATATGTTAGTGTTACATTATAAACAACATAATGTGGCTTTTGGAGGTTGGAAAAAGCTGGTACTTTTCAATCTTGTGTGTTAATATTTATTTCTGAATTTTGTTATATATACTCAAATTGTGAGGTTAGTGGAGTGGAAAAAATGTCTGTGGGTGTTTTAAATATTGTTCATAAGAAATTAACACAGTTGTCATTAATATTGCATACCTCTATTTCTGCTCCATCTCAATGACATTCTATCATTCTTTGTGAAACCAGTTACAGTGATTATAAGTACATTTTAATGACAATAAAACCAAAATTAGCTTATGGGAAATATAATCTTTATGATTCTGATTTATAACTAAAAGCATTTATTTGTATAATTGAAAGAAAACCATTAATATAACTTAATAGTCACCACACAAAATTACACAATATATTTGTAATAAGGATAACTTATCACAAAATTAATTTTTATTTTTAGTGTATCTTTTAATTTTATTTTATTAGTTTGACTCGGAACACTTTAAAAGTGAATCTTGGAGATATTTACACTTATGAGACCTTCTGAAAGAAAAAGAAAAACCTATTTAATTTTGTGTATTATTCTAAAGACTTTGAAAACTTTAAATAATTTCTCAAGGGATTCATTATTTCACATATGATGATGTCAAAACGGTACTTACCATGTACAATGAGAACATACTCTGCACTGCTTTGGCCAATGGTGTTGGTGGCTTCACATCGATATGTACCGTTATCCGTTTTGTTCAGGAAAAGAATATTTAGCTCTCTACCACTCACAACCATCCGATCAGGATCTGGTAATTCTCCACCGTCCTTTGTCCACAAAACAGGTTCTGGCCTATTGGATGTAAACACACATATAGTTAGAAAAATTAAGAAAATGCTACATATTTTGTGAATTAAATAAATCAAGCAGTTTAACACCCATTTTGTGCATAAACATGTGCTAATTTCTATAAGGTACCAAAAGAACCATCATGCACTCACTCAGAAGATTTGAAGGGATGACAAATATACTTTAGTTCTATCCTGCTTAATTAGGCAGGATATGCACTTTCTTAGACATGCACTAAAAAAGTAATTTGTTGAGTCATCATAGGAGTCCCTGATATATAGCAGTTCCTGTGGCCCTGATCTGCTGCTAATGACTCACACTTGCTAATGTTTGGAGAACTGTCCTTGAGCTATCGGAACAGCTTTTTCCCCAGAGGAACCTGGAATGATACTTTTGCACTAGGGCCACCATTGTGACACAGTTGTTGCCTGAGACCACTTAAAGCTTTTTCCCTTTGTCTCTCCTGCTTTTCTCATTTCCCTAAATGTTATTATTGATAGTTCTCTCATTTTTGCCCCTAGTTTTATTAATATACAATTAACATGTAATGCTGTATTAGCTTAAGGTGTACAACATAATGAATTGACATATGCATACATTGCAAAATGATTACCACAATAAGATTAGTTAACATTCGTAGCCTCACATAGTTATAATTTTTGTGTGTGATGAGAACTTTAAAAATTACTGTTAGCAATTTTGAGATATGCAATGCAGTATTGTTAACTATAGTAATCATGTTATACATTACATCCCAGGAGTTTTTATTTTATAACTGGAAGTTAATACCTTTTGACCACATTCACATATTTACCCTACTCCCACCCCATCTCTGACCTCTTTTATTCAACATTGTACTTGATGTCTTAGCCAGAGAAATTAAGCAGGAAAAGTAAATAAAGAGCACCCAAATTAGAAAGGAAAACTCACTATTTATAGATGTTATGGTACATATAGAAAACCCTAAAGACTTTACCCCCACACTTACCCCAAATACAAACTGTTAGAACTAATATGTGAATTCAGTAAAGTTGCAGACTACAGAATAAATATACAAAATGAATACATTTCTATACAGTAGCAGCAAACTATTAGAAAAATAAATCAAGAAAACCACCCCATTTACAACTTAATCAAAAAGAATAAAATACTTAGGAAAAATTTGATCATGGGTGAAAGATATGTACTCTGAAAACTATAAGACATTGATGAAAAACATTAAAGAAGACATAAATTGAAATACATTTAATTCATTGCTTATAAATTTAAAAATTAATATTGTTAAAATGCCCATATTACCCAAAGCCATCTACAGATTCAATGCAATCCCTATAAAAATTTCAATGACATTTTTCCAAGAAACAAAACAATAATCCTAAAATTTTAATGGAACCACAAAGACCCTGAATAACCAAGAAATTTTGAGGAAGAAGAAAATATCTAGATGGATTACATTTTCTGGTTCCAAACTATATTACAAATCTATAGTAATTAAACCAGTATGATATTGGCATAAATACAGATATATAGATCAATGGAAAAGAATAAGGAACCCAAAAATAAACCCAAGCACAAGTGGTCAATTAATTTTTTAATAAGGAGTCAAGAATACACAATGGAGAAAGGACAATTTCTTAAATAAATGATGCTGCTAAAACTGCAAAAAAAAAAAAGCTGGATCTCTATCTTATACAATACACAAAAGTTATCTCAAAATGAATGACAGAGTTGAATGTAAGATCTGAAGCTATCAAACTACGAGGAGAAAACATAGACAGCAAGTTCCTTGATATCGATCTTGACAATATTTTTTTTTGGATTTAATACCAAAAGCAAAGGCAACATAAACAAAAATAAATGTGTGACTGTTGGTGTTCCATGCCATTAAGTCAACTCCTGGTGACCCTATGAATGAGTGATGTCTACAATATCTTATCCTTAATAGCCCTGCTTAGCTCCTGTAGACTCCTGCCCATTGCTTCTTTTATGAAATGAATCTCTCTCATATTTGTTGTTCCTCTTTTCCTGCTGCCTCATTTTTTCCTAGCATTGCTGTTTGTTTGTTGTTTTCCCAGAGAATCATGCCTTTTCATTATGTGCCCAAAGTAGGACAGCTTTTTTTTTTTTTTGTAATTTTTACCTCCACAATGTTTCAGGTTTAATTTGCTCTAGAACACACTTATTCACCTACCCGGAGGTCCAGGGTCTCTTAGAGCTCTCCTCCAACACCATATTTCAAATGAATCAATTGCTTTCCTATTAGCCATCTTCACTGTTCAGTTTTGCCACCCAAACAACATAGCAACTGGGGATACAAGGGTGTAAATGACCTTAGCTTTTGTCTCCAATGACACGTCTTTTCTCTTGATGATCTTTCCTAATTCATCCATTGCTGTCCTTCAAGTCTCAGCTTTCTCTTAAATTCATGACTACAGTCTTCATTTAAATTAATGACTGAACCAGGACAAGCAAAATCTTCAAGAATTTCAATATCTTGACTGTCTATGTAAGGTCATGTATTTCTTCTACAGTCCTGATGTTTGTTTTCTTAATGTTCAAATGCAGTGATGCTTTGGTACTTTCTTTTTTCATTTTCATCAGAAGCTTCTTCAAATCATTGCTACTTTCTGCCAATAAAATATGTCATTTGCATATCTTAAGTTATTGATATTTCTTCCACCTATTTTAATCTTCCTTCCTCTGAATTTAGCCCCATTTTTGACAGGATATGCTCTGTGTACAGATTAAACAAATAGAAAGATAAAAATGCATTCATGTCTGACAAATCTGCCTATAGAAAGTCACTCTGTCTCTCCATATTCTATCCTGACAGTGGCTTCCTGTCTGCAACACTGTTTATGTATCCAGATGATCAAGTGCTGGGGCATGTCACTTTCTTTCAGAACAACCCCTAGTTTTCATGATCCATGCAGTCAAAGGCTTTACTGTAGTCTATAAAACATAGACTAACATTCTTCTGGAATTCTTTGGAGCACTCCAGTATTCAGCAAATGTTTGTGATTAAATTTTGAATATCTTTTACCTTGTTAAGTCCAGCATTTCTTGCTCCATGTAAGGTAGAAGAAGCCTTCATTGCATTACCTTGAGCATCACTTCACTTTTGTGGAAAATTAGAGCAATGGTCCTTAGTTACTGCACTTATTGGAATCTCATTTATTGAAAATTAGGATGTATATTGAATATTTTCAGTCTGTTGGCCATTGTTTGGTTTTCCATATTTGTTGATATATCCTTGTTAGGATATTGACAGATTCAGTCTTTATGGCTTGAAATAATCCCATCAGTGTCACATCTAACCTTAGTGATTTACTTGTCTTCGGTACTTTCAGGGTAGCTTTCACTTCAGTTTCTAGAATCATAGGTTCTTCCATATAGAAATGTTCTTCAAAGGTGTCTGTCATCCTTTTGTCTCTTCTGTATAGATTTTCAGTAGATTGTTTCCACCTTCCATTTATGTTCTCTTGGTTAAGAAATATTCTTCCTTGGTCATTCAGCATTAGTCTAGGTTTGAATTTTCCAAATCTTCTGGTAGAGATCTCTTGTTTTTCCTTTTTATGTTGCTCTCTTCTACCTCCTTACATTGACTAATGTAATAGTTCTCTTTATCTCTACATGATACTTATTGAAAAACTGCATTCAAAGCCGATCAATGATTCTCTCTCATTGATGTTTCTCTCTCTCCCTCTCTCTCTTTGAAACCAATAAAAATATATTAAAAATTAATGCATATGAGAATATAGGAGATTAGAGATGTATCTAAACTCTGTTCTGACTCCATTGTAAATGCTTAGTGTACTATCTCGTGCTTTCAAACATGGTGAATGCTTTCCTAGTTCTTCAGAATTTTCTAATTTAAAAATAATTTAACACATCATCTACAATTATTTTTGGAAAATATTTAATTATTTGTTTATTTTGGAGAAAACACTGAAGTTATGGATACAATAAGAACATATGTCTTATTAAGTGGTGGCTATAACTATCACACATTTTCTGAGAAAAAGATTATATTTTTTGACAAAGTTTTGTCAAACAGATAAAATTTGTGAACCAAATAATAATAAATATTGAAAATCCTATTGAAACAAGCAGATTGGAAATGTTATAAAAGAATTTAATATCATCCCTCGGGGATGTCTGACTGCCTTTCGCAACCTGAGACTGCTGGCTCCTAACCGCTCACCTGCCTGCCTGCCTGATCACCCTAACCACCTCTGCCTGCCTGCCTGATCACCCTAACCACCTCTGCCTGCCTGCCTGATCACCCTAACCACCTCTGCCTGCCTGCCTGATCACCCCTAACCACCTCTGTCTGCCTGCCTGATTACCCCTAACCACTCTGCCTGCCTGCCTGATCACTCCTAACTGCTCCCCTGCTGACCTGATCGCCCCTAACCACCTATGAAAAATAAAATGAATAAGAAACTAGTAATCCAAAGCTATTGGAAAATATAATAATTTATATCATCTAATTACATGGACAACTCATTTTTATAGTATCTTTTATAAAAGCCACACCATTAATACTTCTCAATTTGATTCATATATCTAACATCTGTTAGTTACTATTTGCATTTAGTAATTCTTATTTTAAAACTGATAGCCTGAATAATCTTGTACCATAAACTCCCTTTGAGGTTCAATAAAATCATGACTCCATGCATTAAACTGAAATATTAGAAGTTATGTTCTTTCTACAAAGCCAACTTTAAGATAACAGTTAATAACTACTTAAGGGATGTATTTTATTATATTAAGAGTCAATACTTTTTTGATACATAAGTCAGATTTTTTAAACACACATATATAATTATATGCATGTAAACATACATTTTCATAAACTTAAAAATTATGCTACCTACCCAAATCCAAACTGCCATAAATTTTTCTGCCAATGTTCATAAGCTTTTAGTCACAGTTTAATGACTCCTCTGTAAATATGTAATTAAATGTAGATATATCTTTTAAAATAGTGTGTATAA